CGAGCGCGCGAGCGACACTTCACCCCGCGGCCGCGAGGCCCGAGGGAGAAAGAGAGAGAGAGAGAGAGAGAGAGAGAGAGAGAGAGAGAGAGAGAGACAGAGAGAGAGAGAGAGGAGGAGCCACGCGCTTTAGCGCATCAGGCAACATTTTAAAAAACAATACATTTAGGTTTTTTTTTTTTTTTATAGTCTACTAACTATAGAAAAATGAGCCAGGTTTTACATACACGACATGAGAACAAGCGCACAAACCGAACATGCATACAGTTTTGCATGTGACCTCAAGACTTGACGTTTCTACTTCATCAATGACATTTTATTATAATTGATTGCTTACCTCCCTATTCGTGTTTTTGTGTGTAAACGTTCCCCGAAGAACTCCATTTCCCAGAAAGCACTGCGATGGAGAGTTGTTTTTTTTTGGGGGGGGCACACATTTAAACGCGTTCGCCGCATGGTTTTAGGAATTAACTGTATTTGTAAGAATGTTTCAGTGTGTGTCTTAATTACAATTAAGTACTAAAAAAGTATTGTCGGTCAAAGGTCACGCTGTTCTGACTGTCACACTCGCGCCAATTCTGTATTTCCGGTTGAGGCCGCGCTCACACAGGTTCGTGTAAGATTGTTTATATGCAGCAAATTTCAAGCACATTGTTTTATGATGCTTTGAATTCCCTGTTAGTTAGTTAGTTAGTAAGAGTGAATAAACCTCACGCTCTCTCCACTCATTGTTCGTATTATTTTGACTGTAAATGATCTCGTATTATTGATTGATCTCGGTATCAGATGCTGGAGGAAATGTGTTGTTGTTGTAGAAGTGCCTTTTACATTTTGTACTTTATATGGGAATAATAATACGTGTGTTATGATTACAGGATATGTTTAGAAATATGCTCTGGTCGAATACTGTTCAATATAACTTGATTATTTGCACAATAGCAAGATATGTGCTGATTAATGTTTTTTTTCTTTTCAAAATCCTTTGATGAAGATAAAGTTCAAAAGGACAACATCTGTTTGCAATGGAAAGCTTTTTTAATATTACAAAAATCTTATTTATTTCCATAAAGGATGGAATTATAGAGCAACATGTTAGTGGGTTGTTAGCTTGAAGCTTAATTTCTGTATTATTATTTGTAATATTATTATTGATATTCTTTAAATAATTTTTGTGATATGCATTTTTGTAAAGCTTAAAATTCATACCTATGTTTACTTACTCGTGATATATTTTGTAAAAAAAAATTAAAAAGTTGAAATTTTTTTATCCAAATGATCAGACATGGATCTGAGCGATTTTGAGGCAGATAACTCTGTGAGCTGCCGCTTGTCCTCGTCCATCCCGGACGTGTGTAAGACAGCGGACTGCTGCCTGGGCATCGATGAGGCGGGCAGGGGTCCCGTACTGGGTGAGTGTCGTCCTCATTGGACAACGCCATTTTTAAACAATTGAAATTGGAGTATAAATTTGATATGCTGTATTTTAGGACCCATGGTGTATGGGATATGCTTCTGTCCTGTATCCAAAAAGGAAGACCTGAAGAATTTGAAAGTGGCAGGTTGGTTACAGAGCAAATCTTGACAGGAGTTCAGATTCGCTGGAAATCTGCAGTATTTTTGTTGCATGTTTAGACTCAAAGACGCTGACGGAGGCAGAGAGAGAGAATCTGTTTCTGAAGCTCGATGAGTCTAAAGGTTTTGTAGGCTGGGCCCTTCAGATCCTCTCGCCGAACACCATTTCCACCAGCATGCTGCAAAGGTACACACATTTCACTGGTACTTGGAGTCTAATTTTTTTCATTTTTAACCTGTTGTCCTTTTATTTTCAGAACAAAATACAATCTGAATGCCCTGTCACATGATGCTGCTATTGGTCTGGTGCAGTACACCCTGGACTGTGGGGTGCAGCTCAAAGAGGTACAAACCAACCCCTGTAAGATAGACAGCAAGGACTGGTGGTGAAGCCGTCATGACGTGTCTTTCATACCTCTCAGGTGTTTGTGGATACCGTGGGTCCTGCAGAGAAGTATCAGGAGAAGCTCTCCCAGCGGTTCCCTGGGGTGGAGGTCACCGTCCGTCCCAAAGCTGATTCTCTCTTCCCCATCGTCAGCGCTGCCAGCATCTGTGCCAAGGTAATAGTTCCTTCAGAGGTGGATGATGTAATGGGAATATCAGTTATTAGAGGAAAAAACCTGCTAATAGTTCAAGAAAGATTTATGCATATGATTTGATTTTTGACTAATTTGTTCTCTCTGTAGGTGGCAAGAGACCATGCTGTGAAATCCTGGAAATTTGCAGAAGATTTGGGTGAAGTGGACACCGATTATGGCTCTGGGTATCCTAATGGTCAGTTTATATCATATGAGATTCCTTCCATTTCCATAAAAGTGCTTTTCTAGCACATACATACTACTGTTCAAAAGTTTGAGGTCAGTACGTTTTTTTTTTTTAATGATTAATACTTTTAGTCCGCAAGAATGCATTAATTTGATCAAAGATGACAGTAGAGATATTTTATAATGTAACAAAAAAATCTATTTCAAATCAATGCTGAACTTTCTATTCACCAAAGGATTTTAAAAAACAGTTTCCACAAAAATACTAAGCAGCACAACTGTTTTCAACATTGATAATAATAAGAAATCTTTCTTGAGGTGCAAATCGGCATATTTGAGTGATATCTGAAGGATCATGTGCCACTGAAGACTGAGTAATGATGCTGGAAATTCAGCTTTGCATCACAGATATAAATTAAAGTTTAAAATATATTCACATAGAATATGGTCATTTTAAATTGTAATAATATTTCAAAATATTACTGTTTTTTTGTTATCAAATAAATGCAGCCTTGTTGAACATAAGAGACTTATTTCAAAAACATTTAAAAATCTTACTGACCCCAAACATTTTAACAGAATTTTACTTTGCTAAAAATCTATATTATGGTTTGCTGTGTCTTCGTTTAGATCCCAAAACTAAGAGCTGGCTGCTGAAGTATCTGGACCCAGTGTTTGGTTATCCTCAGTTTGTGAGGTTCAGCTGGAGCACAGCACGGACGCTCACGGACAGTAAAGCTGTTCCTGTTCACTGGTGAGTCTGATAGCAGAGGGCGCTGCCTTTTCATATTCAGAATAATAATAATCTCAGGCTGCAGTTTCTTTTTTTTAGTGCATACACATATGTTGCTATGTACAAAAATGTGCAACATACAATTTTTTTACTTCTCTTCGATCATGTTAGTACTTGTGCATTTTTGCTTGGAATATTAAATGCATTTGTTTGTTTGTAGGGATGATGATGAGGAAGATGGAGAAAAATCTGGTGCTCGTCAGAATAACACCTCAATGCTGTCGTATTTCAGTCGCAGCAAGCCGTCTGAGCTCACACACACACGAGACACACACCGCTTTTTCACTGAGCGCAAGCTACAAAGCATCAACACACTCTGAACACAAACACTGTCGATGAATGAGAGCGGCGGTCAGCATATCACAAAATACGTGTCAGCTGGATATGTCTAACATATGAACTGGATATTTTCATTATCGCAAATATTGAACTGTGCATGAGCCAGCTGAGTGTATTATATTCTCCTGTGTGTTTTTTATGGTGTGTATTGTTCATTTCTGGATGTAAAACAAATAAAATATTTTCATATCTTTTCGAACGTGTCTTAGATTTTAAATGAGGTGGTACAAAATCAGACCAGAATATTGGTGATTCTTAATTATAATTCTCAACCATAATGTATATATGTCTGTCTAACTGAAAACTGCCTAGCAACCACTCTAATATTTATCTTGAAGTATTTGTAGGGTTGCTTGTTTTTAAGCACTTCAAACCTGCAGTCCAGACTATCAAACCTGTGTGATGAGGCTAAGATTTTATATAACCTCCACACACTTGTGTTTTAGACGCAATGTTTATATCCCTCCGCGACAGCAGGTGGCGTAACAAGCGGCAACTGTTGCACAACGATAAACGAGAAGAAGAAGCGGGGCGGCAGTTTCCGCTTGAGCTCAGCAGTGTGGTGAGTGTGAGGCGATTCATTCCGTTTTATTGTTATATTAATGTTTAATAAATTATTTTACCTTTATAATTTAGCAAAGCAGCACTCTGCGATATTAACACTAGTTTGTACTAGTAGAAATACTAAATGGAAGACACTAACCCCCGGTTTCACAGACGAGGCTTAAGCCTAGTCCAAGACTAAAGTGTAAATCTGAGCTGTTTTAACTTTAACTTTTACTTGTTTAACTTGCACTGACTGATCTTAAAATATATCAGTGCTTCTGTTTTGTCTCAAAATGTACACCTGTAATGTTTTTTCTAAGACACGTTAATAAAAATTACTTAAATGTCCTTATTGAACTATTGCCTAGCCCTGGCTTAGTCTAAGCCCTGTCTGTGAAACCAGGCCTAAGTGTGTTTTGTCATTGTGTAACGTTAGTTGCTGACATTTACTGCTTACTGAATTCATGTGCCTTTTCTCTTTAGTTCAGTGTGGTTTTACCTGAAATTATTAATCATGGACATACGACCGAATCACACCATCTATATCAACAATGTTAATGATAAGATCAAGAAAGAAGGTAAAGTCTGTAGTTATAGTGGAGATGAGCGGAACAGCATTGACTATGTTTGAGCACAGAATCTGCATTTTATGTAAAGCTTGTTTTTTTTCCCCCTCTGGATCTTTTCTACAGAGTTGAAGAGATCACTGTACACCTTATTCTCCCAGTTCGGCCAGGTTATGGACATTGTTGCGATGAAGACCATGAAGATGAGGGGTCAGGCGTTTGTTATCTTCAAAGAGCTTTCTGCAGCCACCAATGCCCTCAGACAGCTTCAGGGATTCCCTTTCTACAATAAACCCATGGTCAGTGCCACAGGAACTACACAGCAGTCGCTTGACATTTACGTAACCGATGCGATTAGCATTTCAGAAAATAATGAGCAGAATATGGTCCTTTGATTCACATTAACCTTCAACTAGAAATAGATCACTCAAGGAGAAGTTCATCTACAATGTGAAAAATTTCATTTTTCAATGTCATCATCAGCTATATGTGACCCTGGACCGCAAAACTAGTCATAATGGTCGATTTTTCCAAATTGAGATTTATACATCACCTGAAAGCTGAATAAAAAGCTTTCCATTGATGTATGGTTTGTTAGGACGGGACGATATTTGGCCGAGATACAACTATTTGAAAATCTGGAATCTGAGGGTGCAAAAAAAATCAAAATATTGAGAAAATCGCCTTTAAAGTTGTCCAAGTGAAGTTCTTAGCAATGCATATTACTAATCAAAAATTAAGTTTTGATGTATTTACGGTAGGAAATTTACAAAATATCTTCATGGAACATGATCTTAACTTAATATCCTAATGATTTTTGGCATAAAAGAAAAATCAATAATTTTGACCCATACAATGTTTTTTTGGCTATTGCTACAAATATACCCCAGCGACTTAAGACTGCTTTTGTGGTGCAGGGTCACATTTGATGTTTCTTTCATCTGTGAATCACTAAGGATGTTTATCGGATGTTGTCATTCATATTATTTATCAGTTCACACATTATAAAGTATTAGAACACATTTCTCAGTTGCTAACCTTAGCATGTACTTATAGCGGATCCAGTATGCAAAAACAGACTCGGACCTGATCTCTAAGATGAGAGGCACGTATGGAGATAAAGAAAAGAAGAAAGAGAAGAAAAGGAAAGCTCAGGAACAGGCCGCCAATGTCAACAAGAAGCCAGCGGTGAGTTGAAATGCATCATGTTTGCTGAGGCATTGTAATTAGATAATGATACTGACGGCCAAATTGTGGTGAAATGTACAGTTAAAGATCAAAGTAAATTTAGCTTAAAGTTGTTTGTGCATTTTCCCTGCAGGGAGCTGTAAGCACACAACCTCCTCCACCTGCCACAGTCCAGGTACGTCACACAACTTACACACGTGATTTGATTTTTAGTATTTTTAATAATACATTGTTTTGTTTATGTACCTGAAATTCTAAGTCACTCAGTAAATTATTTTATGTTGATTTAGGTCCCTGACAACCCACCGAATTATATTCTGTTCCTGAATAATCTCCCAGAGGAAACCAACGAGATGATGCTCTCCATGTTATTCAACCAGTAAGTTTTAAACACAGTAAACTTTAGAAAAAAAGTAAATGTTTTAGTAATTCATGGCATTGTTTTTCTATAATATTTTATTTTATTTATTTATTACATCAGAATATTTTTATATGAAAGTCTTTTCGTGTGGATATTAATGTGTAAAACTTTTAAAGGGATAGTTCACCTTCAGTTTCTGGTCCCCATTGACTTTCATAGTATGGAAAAAAAAACACTATGCTAGTCAATGGGGACCAGCAACTGAAGATGCAAAAGTTTCCCTTTTGATTAAAAATGCATGAATATTGACATACTTGTATATCACCCAGCTCTTTCAGCTAGATTTTTCTGCACAGATTTTTTTACTCCCTGTCTTGTTCCATCTGTTCAGGTTTCCAGGGTTTAAAGAAGTGCGTCTGGTTCCTGGAAAGCATGACATTGCATTTGTGGAGTTTGAGAGTGAGGCTCAAGCTGGAGTCGCGAAGGATGCGTTACAGGGATTCAGAATCACAGCCACGTGTGCCATGAAAATCACATATGCTAAAAAATGACCTAGCGCACACTTACCGGACTGTAACTGAGGCGTTGATCAGTGGATCCTCGCCTCTTGATTGTTTGTCTTTACATTCAAAATCATCTTTTAAAAAAACATGTTTGTTCAGTGACTGTTTAGTATTTTTTTTTTTCTTTTGTATGGGAATGAGTTGGTCACTGAGGACTTTATGATATTCCAGGACAGATCTTTTTGTACTGTGGACTAATAAAATTAGCCTCTAAAATAAATGGCCCATATTTTTATGACATTTTAGTTTTCAGATTGAGCTTAAAGGAATGGTTCCCAAAAATAAGGCATTATTTACTCACCCGCATGTTGTTCAAAACCATTTTTAGATATACTGTTTCTTTAAATCATAACTGTATGACTTGAGATTAGTTGTAAATTGTCAGGCATCAACTCTGTACCTGACGAAAGGACTGAAATAGTTGGTTTGGCACAAAACAGTGTAACATGCATATGCGTCAGCACTGAAGGCTCTGTAAATTTTGCTCTGAGGTGCAACTCGCTTATGAATTTGGGCACAAGCTGACTGGTGCATCAATAGCATCACAACATTGAAAGAAATACGGTTATACGGCATACACTGTTCTGCATTTTCATTAACTGTATCAAATGTGTGTTTTGTTGATACTTTGCAAAGATGTGCATTTTATTGTTGGCAATCTTGGGGAAACTATCATAAAGCAGCAGAATGTTCACCCCAGATTAAATCAGTCATGTTTATATTTTAGCAGAGACTGGTCTCATTATTTACACAGCTGGGGATTATTAGACATGCAGCTTTTAAAATGTCAGGATGAGAGGTTTGCATAATAACTGACAGACACTATCAAATTAGTCCCAGCACATAATGACCCTCCACTAAGTGTCATTTCAATACATAATATATACAACTTGTTGGGTCTTTCCCAAAAAGACTCATGGCTGTATTAGATCAAAAGGGTGCTTCTACTAAATACTGAGCAAAGGGTCTGAATACTTAGGACCATGTGATATTTCAGTTTTTCTTTTTTAATAAATCTGCAAAAATGTCAACAATTCTGTGTTTTTCTGTCAATATGGGGTGCTGTGTGTACATTAATGAGGGAAAAAATTTACTTAAATGATTTTAGCAAATGGCTGCAATATAACAAAGAGTGAAAAATTTAAGGGGGTCTGAATACTTTCCGTACCCACTGTATATATATAAAAAAGGTTTTCTGGTAAATGGGTTAAATGGACAGGAAAAATTTTTCCCTACAGAGTTTTTTTTTTCAACATGGTCAATTAAACGGAAGCTTAAACGATAAGGATGAGCAGTTCTCACAGACTGTTGCATCAACTTTTAAGCAAGAGCCAATGGAAGGAATGAGCAATATGAAACAGCCTAAATCAATACCTCAAAAACACCATTCGATATGGTGGACCATAGGATTTTAATTGAGCGCCTTGAACGTTGGGGCGGCCTAAAAGGCAATGTGCTGAAATGGTTTGAATCTTATCTTACGGATAGGTCTTTTTCAGTGAGAGTTGGGAACTGTAATTCTTCAAGATTACATCTTCCTTGGGGAATTCCACAAGGGTCAATCTTGGCGCCGTTGCTGTTTTCCCTCTATATGCTACCTTTGGGGGCTATATTTCGAAAACACAAAGTATAATTCCACTGCTATGCAGATGATACTCAGATTTATCTACCTAGAGAGTCAAACCCAGATTCCATAAAGGTGTTAGTAGCTTGTTTACAGGAGGTAAAGGCCTGGATGGCTGCTAATTTTTTGTTGCTTAATGAAAATAAAACTGAGGTTATTGTTTTTGGCCCTAAGAATCAAGAAGTGACTCAGTGTTTAAATTCAACGCACCTGGCTGGCTTTATGAAAACCCATGTGAAAGACTTGGGCTTCGTTTTGGATAGTGAACTAAAGATGAACAGGCAAATAAATACAGTGGTGAGATCTTGTTTTTTTTTCTTTTAGGTCTATTAGCGA